GAAATATCGGAAATGTGTTTAAAAATCATATCACCGTTATTGAAAAAAATTATATCGCGATACATATTGATATTGAATTATTGTCCAGCCCTACTACACATATGATAATATCGTAAATAATCAAGAGCCAGTAACTACTGGGTTGTCACTCCAACATAGTAGGTGGTGTTACTGCAGAAAAAGAAGGCAATGCATTGCGTAGCTACTATTGCTGCATAAAATCATGTCGGAGGAGAGACCTGCATCCCCAAAACAATTATCTTGCAAATGTGGGAGTTTTCTGGATTCCATAAAAAGACTTGTTGTTAGACCAGTGTTTCCCAACCCTGTTCCTGAAGGCACACCAACAGTACACATTCTGGAGGTCTCTTAACTAGTGGTCGACCGATATATCGCCATGGTCGATATATCGGCCGATATTTGGCATTTGTTAAATATCGGCATTGGCCGATAAGTTTTCCTGTTTGGCCGATGCGTTCGATGCGGGACTTTTATTTTGACGGCGCTGAGAACGGCAGCGCCTGGGCACACAGTGCTCACATTCTCCCTCTTGTTCACTGTTGTCGTTAACAGTTCTGTCTAAATACGGATAGAAGTCTGTCTAATAATCAGATAGAACGGTTAAACAAACGAATTAAAATATATACAAAAAGTCTTATAACGACTGCTTTTATATTATTAGAAATAGAAAGGCAAACATTATAATACTTTCTTGTTTGCCGTCAGCATTCAGCAAATACGCATTTATATCGCGTGTTCCCTGCGTGACGGTCGGTCCGTGCAAATTGAATGCTGACAGGAGGAGAGTTCAGCTTCACTGGAGACGCACGATCGACAAACTTTAAACTCTTGATTTTAAATTATGCTGCGCTTTATGCATTTTTCCACTGTCATATTCATGTCATTTTCACTGTGTGCTGTATGTAAAATGAGTGTTACCTTGGCTTTGTTTGAAAAAATATGATTAATACACACAAACTTCCCAGATTAATGAGTGCCCTGTTGGTTACAGTGTTTACTTCCTTTTTAATTATATTTTTATTAAATATTTATTTATATGTGAAAATACTTTGTCATCTAAAGTATAAGTATGTTTATTTAACACATTTATTTTTTTTATCAATTTTCATATTTCTTAAATATTAATTAAAATAAATAAAATTATATCGGCCACATCGGCTGTCAAAAAACCAATATCGGTCAACCACTACATCCATTTCAGGTAGTCTCCATTAACAAGCTCAGCTGAATCGCGTGTATTTGATTAGTAAGAGTGCAAAATGTGTATTGTTGGTGTGCCTCCAGAAACAGGGTTGGGAAACACTGTTAGACGGCCCAGTCTGGAGGAAGTGCCCTTAGACCATGTCTACACGTACACGGGTATTTTTACTTCACGAGTTTTTCCTTCTTCTGTTTTTAATGTCAGAACATCAGAAGCCAAAAACTCCGGGTTTCGCTGTCTACACGATAACACTGCAACCGGAGTTTTTGAAAATCTTCACCCTGGCAGGCGTTTTCAAAAATGTTCGGTTTCAGTGACCTGGTGCTGCGTTTGCGTGTGGACTAACAGCCTAACTGCGTAGAAATAACCGCATTTTTTCTTATCGATTAAAAAGTTCATCCTACTTAATTGTACGCATAAGATTTTTATGCACATTTTTAGAATTTATGCGCATCTTGGCATTTCCATCCAGTGTTTTTTTATGCGATATTCCAAAATAGGTGGATAAAAATAGGTGGATGGATCAATTAATTCAGTGTAATGCAGTATAGTAGTATTCTAGGTAGGGATGTCATACATACCTCTGTATGTACTGCGACTGCAACAAACCCTTCCATGACATGAGTCCACTGTCTCGCTGTCCCCTACTGTCCACCCATCCTGTGGACTATGCCAACTGTAAACACTGCCCACAGGACACACATGGCTCAAGAGCACTTTTAACGCTTTCAGAAGCACTTGCTCCCAGTCCAACAAGCGTGGATTTAGACTAAAACAGCAGAAGAGCTTTCAGTAGTGCAATGTTTAACTGCACCGCTTCTGGAGATTCAGAGAGGGGCTGGTAGAAACAGAGTTGGGCCAAGGAGCAGAAGCATAATTTGAATAGTAACAAGCCTGAGGTTAGTTTCGAGTGGGATCGTGCAGTGAGTTGTAAATCGTGATGGCCTTGTTGGAGATGGATTTCTCAAGTCCGTCGAGTACTAATTGTACCAGGCCTGTGCCACGTCAATGGGCGAGCACTAGGCTTGCTACAAGTCCACTTATGTGAGACTGGAGCGTTGCAAATGAAGTAGAAATCAAGAAATAGATTGGGTACAGCAGTGATGAAGCTGTCAGTGCCTCTGTATTGAAGACAAAATCTCAGCAGAAAGCAGAACGAAATTCAGACTTGGAGGATTGGTGGCTTGTTACAGGTCTTTCACTAAAAAGGGAGTTTATTGATGGCTTGGAGGAATAGTAAGGGTCTTTTTCAAAACTCCCCGTGGCCTTCCACCGACAGCTACAGCAACGTCTGAATGAGTCTCTGTAGGATACACAATCATAAGTATTAGAATATGCAAATGGAATAATAATCACATTGTAATTAATACTTAAAAATGCATATGCATATGCAAATGCAAACATCAACATGAGCAAAATACATAGGCGTGCATGCACTCTCCAGCTTTCACTATGAAGCAATGCAAAGGAGCGCTGCACAGAAAATCGGCATCCGAAAAGCATGACGTCATCCGATCAAGTCCGCATCCCTTTGAAATCGAAATAAATGGAGACCAGCAATACGATCATCAATTACCACAGATTAAATTTCAAACGCTCCCTTTCGTTTTGCAATGTCTTTAACGTGCAGCCAGGCTTCATACGACCGATAACTGAATCTATTGCATTCATAAGCAGAGAAAGGCTAAGAGGTGACGTCATCTATATCCTGACTCACAAAACCTGAACTAACTGAACATAATAATAAACATAAAAGACAGACAACTCACAAGCCAAAGTATTAATCCACAACTAACGCTATATTGGAAATCAGTGACATCAGATACGATGCATCAGCTCCAAATGCGGCACAGCAGGAATATGTGACAGCATCCAGTGAACTGTCAAACACCTTCACAAAAGACACATTAACCATTATTATATGGAGACATGACTCTATTAATTACACGTAACGTTATTTAACTTAAGCAATCGCGAATCCAGCAACATATATTGAACACAGGAAATTTATCTGACGGATAATAACAATAAAGACCAACAGAAAACTGACCAACTTACTCACATAATAGCAGTTATTTCTGCCACAAATAACGGTACATTTCAGCCCTCCTCCTCATTCCCTTCAAGTTAAATGAGCAACACGAAACGCTCACGTTTACCTCTGCACTCAAGACCTGCCGTTACTGTAGTTATTTCTGCTTGACTAAAAATGTTATTTACTATCTCATTTCTGTCAGTGACTGTGAAGCGTCGGTCTCGCGACCCGCTCGAGCTAAACTGCCTCAATCTTTTTGTACTCTCGTTTCTAGCTTAGCTAACTTGCCTATAATTCGTCTTTTACGACACGGTATCCACCAAAACGTGCAAACAACGTAGCGTTGCCTTTCTTAACTGCTATTTACACATTTATATCGTTGCTAGAATGATAGGTATTAAATATTAGTTGCACATTTTTACCTCAGTTTCTCTCCCTCCAATCTCGGCTTCCCTTCCCCCCTCCCTCCCTTTTCCACACAGTAACTGAAAACCCCGGCGCCTTGTGGGAATTGTGGTTCTTCTACTGTAAATAGACTTCCGGTACTGTAGGAGCCCTTTAGTCACTATCTAAAGTTTGTTTGTTTGTTTTGTTTTGTTTTCATGAAATTTCAGTGACAGTAGTACGTCATCTACTCTTCATCTCTGAATTCTTGTATAATTATGCCATTTTATGAGATATTTTTAAGATTGGACATGGAATATTTTTCTATTTTAACAACTAACTAAATAAATAAACACAGGCATAGTTTATGATTAAATGCCTTTGACTCAAAGTCCTTTACTGAGACAAATGTACTCTTTTGTTTTGTTGAAATTTCAAACAGTGACCGCAGTACTTAATATATATCATTTTTGTTACTCTTTCTGTTCCTACTGCTCATCCTTTCAAGGTTTAACTTCTAAAACCTATTTGCATACACATCCTTTCCTGATTACTGTATGTTACAGAAGAATGGAAAAGAGAGATAAAATAGAAATAACTAGCCTAGCAATGAATAAACTGAGCTTGTTAAGATAATAAGGGTGTTAGCTAAGCCTTGATCAGTGTTCCGATCCAGTCTAGATAGTTTACTAATGCTTCAGCTGGAACATCGTCTGCTGTTTAACAATATTCAACATGTGTCTTTCAGAAATGTCCCAAAACTGTGGACGCAGAGGGGTCATTTGTACAACTTCTGCTTTGAAATTCATTTAAAATAATTAGAAATGGCCCACTGCGTCGGAAAATATGAAAAACATTAGAGAGGGGATTGCGGCCCGCCTTTGGCCAGGACATCAGTGTTTACCTCATTTCCTGCTTTGTGCAATGTTGGCTCAGTCGGACCTCAAGCTGAGAAGTTCCCAAAACACATGCGAATAACCAAACACCTCCTTGCTTTAGCAAACCCGGGCTAATCCACTCCAGACGACAAGACATTTTATGTACTGAATTTCTGGCTGTAATACGAGTCACATTCCCTTTCCGGGGGCAGTTTGCTTGAACATCGGTGAGACGTTAATGGGCATAACTGACTCAAAATGTTGTTTATATAACTGGCTGAGTGACCTGCCAAAGTATGTAGATGAAGCTATTTCCTGTATTTCCTTACTCAATCTGCAGATTGAGGCTTTAGTCATAATTTGTGCTCCTTCTTGTGTTACACATGTAGGAAAACTAAACAGACTGATACTGTAGTTTGTCATTTTAATAGCTTTAATGAATATTCACTTAGCAGACATCCTTTCCTAGGGTGATGCAATAACAATATTAACTTAAAATAAATACTTCTTTTTTAAATTTTTTACAAACAATGATAAAATAGGAACTAATAAGCCCAATAATTAATGGTCAGTGGTGTTCTGCAGAAGTATACGAGTGAATAAAAGGAAGTTCAAGCCACAAAATGAAGGTGACAGAGGAAGTAGACTGAGTTTATCCTCGGGTTGAAATCGAAACTTACTAAATCTCCACTGGAATGACCCAGCAACCTCCAGCATCCATTTTTAGTTATTACAGTTCTGTGCATGTGAAAACATTTTAAATAGAGTGGCTTGAACAAAGAGCAGCATATTGTTTTGATGAATAATTTAACTTCTGTATCTGTGTGACATTTTTACAAGTGTAGGCTGAAATGGGAGTGATGGCTTTGGGTGGGTCAAGCTTGACCCTGAAAAGAGTCGCTCTTGTTATGGCATCTTTTGTTTAGGGTATAAATGTGGACATCAGCAGGCAATGGCAGCTTCCACACCACCATTGGATGCCATTCTGTGCCTGAGATGGTTTGCGAAATCCACCTGGGTTTGCGAAAGTACTCGGTTGATGACGGTTTTTGGGATCCAACCCTGGAGATGACAGAACAGGGACAAACCAGACATTAGATATGACATTCAGTTATCTTATTTGGAAGAATAGTGTTACACTAAACCTTTACTTATGTAGATCTTCCATATTAAATGCCATTTAAAGCATTATCTATTAAATAAGAATTTACATTTTTGGGTGAACTATCTCTCTAAAGGCAAAGTGTGTCATTTTTTAAGACAATGGAGCAAACCTAATTGCAAAAATAACGGTTTCTAACAGATTTCCTGAAAACTCCCTCAATTAGTTAGGATAAGAGTCAATCTTTCTGTGTTAGCCTCAAACAAACAGAGCGATTTCGATTGTTCCACCAGTGCTAGGAGTGTTTAAACTTTTCAGGGAAATCAGCCTTGTAATGGCTTGCTAATAGTTATTAAACTGGAATACAAAAATATATTTGTAACATCCACGAAATTACACATACAGTGAGTGAGTGAGTGACGTGACATGTGGCCAAGTATGGTGACCCATACTCGGAATTAGTGCTCTGCATTTATCCCATCCAAAGTGCACACACACAGCAGTGAACACACACACTGTGAACACACACCCGGAGCAGTGCACACAGCACGCACAACTTACCTTAAGGTCTAAACTGAGCAACCAGGTAAATTTAGTCTTATTGGGATCTTCTGCACTTGGTCGCATCACAATACAGGTGGGTCCATTCTCAGCCCTTAGAAAGAAAGCAATATTGTAAATATACATGTATATATTTCAATCATGACAACTCTCTAAATAGTTTTAGCATGTTAATTGATAAGACAGTGTCAATGTATTTGGTCTTGGCTGCTGCTACATGAATAATTACCCATAAATACCATAGCAGATCTAGACAGGTGGAACTGGGGGAGGTGGAGGGTTTCAGAGGTACTCTGATAGCTTGCTGCAGGACCAACTTACAGCGAACACTAAAGCAGGCCATATACAGGAAAGTGGTTCATATTTTCACTTACCTTACAAACCCTTTCTGTTCAGGCATTCCAGGGTGCTGAGTGGACATCCCGGCCAGGAAGCATGTAGATCCCCTCCGCTTAGCACAGCGGACACTTATAAAGTCTCGTGGGCCCACCACATTTCCAGGTGTTTCAGCTGAAACCTCATGTGTGATCATAGTATCCTGACCGATCTTCTGAAGAATCTGAGAGGTAACAAAACTGTATTGAATACCAAATACCTCTGGGTAACAGTAGCTGTATGTTTTATGTTACATCATGACGGAAGACTGTAAGTACGATATTAGAAGACATGAAGTCCTTTAAAAAGGAAAGACATTATATATGCACACACTGCGGTTAGACCTTCAGCACAGGGAGCTGACAGTCAGTAGATCATCTGTTTCTACCCACCTTGACTTGTTTGACATTTGGGTTCCACTCCCCCATTTGTTCCATGTTATCCACCAGCTCCTCATATAGTTCATCTGTCTTCTGTTCCAGCATCACTTCTAACTTAAAAACCTTGCCAATGTCTGGTAGTACTTTACTCATCACCTTATCACCACTGACCTGAGAGAGAAAAACCCACATACACAATTTTTTATTATTATTATATATACAGTTTATATGAGCAAAAAAAGCCTGTGACACTAAATTGCTATATAAAACTGTATATTACAATATGCACAAATACAGGGCATCTATACATTGTCTCATTAGAATGAATGATGAAATCTGATTATTGTTGAGACGTACACTCTCAATCTCAGTTTGCCAGCCATCCAGGTCACTGAGGATGCTGATGGACTTCTGCAGAGCTTGCTGTCCCTGCTGCACATAACACTGCTCAGCTTCACTGTACGTCTCCTCTGCAATCCGACTGCCTGTGCAAAGAAACACACGCATAAACGTGATCCTTTGCATAAAGAAATACATAGTAGATTTCGAAAGAAAAATGAGCATTTGTGTGAAAATGGTGATGTTTTACTGACCCTTTCTGCAAGTTACATTGTTACGCCAGTAGGTGGTGACAAATGACTGTCTTTATGAGAGTGTTACTGAATCGTTCATTCAACCGATTCATTTCCACCAGCTATATAGTTAATCTGTCTTCTGTTCCAGCATCACTTCTAACTTAAAAACCTTGCCAATGTCTGGTAGTACTTTACTCATCACCTTATCACCATTGACCTGAGAGAGAAAAACCCACATACACAATTTTTTATTATTATTATATATACAGTTTATATGAGCAAAAAAAGCCTGTGACACTAAATTGCTATATAAAACTGTATATTACAATATGCACAAATACAGGGCATCTATACATTGTCTCATTAGAATGAATGATGAAATCTGATTATTGTTGAGACGTACACTCTCAATCTCAGTTTGCCAGCCATCCAGGTCACTGAGGATGCTGATGGACTTCTGCAGAGCTTGCTGTCCCTGCTGCACATAACACTGCTCAGCTTCACTGTACGTCTCCTCTGCAATCCGACTGCCTGTGCAAAGAAACACACGCATAAACGTGATCCTTTGCATAAAGAAATACATAGTAGATTTCGAAAGAAAAATGAGCATTTGTGTGAAAATGGTGATGTTTTACTGACCCTTTCTGCAAGTTACATTGTTACGCCAGTAGGTGGTGACAAATGACTGTCTTTATGAGAGTGTTACTGAATCGTTCATTCAACCGATTCATTTAAAACACTGAATCATTCAGGAACATTACAAGTGACTAACTTCTCACCCATTGCCTCATGGGATAGTAAAGTGTCCATCAGATGCGCGCTTTATAATCTCTGCTAAAGTGGGAGGAGCCCAGCTTACTGATTTATGAATACTAAGAATTCGTACATACTACTGATTTCATGTGCCTACTATATAGTATGGAAATAGGCATATTTGAACGCAGGGACTGTCTTTATGAGTGAGTCGTTGAATCACTCACTCAACCAATTTGTTAAAAATGCTGATTTGTTCAGGAATAAAATACCCCAACTGTGTTTCCCAGAGATGTACAATTCTGCTGTGGTGTTGTTTATAACTATTTTCATTGGTCAAGTAAAAAAAAGATAAATAAT